GGAATTTAGCAACTCATTCAAATGCAGAGTCATCTGTTAGAAAATGATCAAATGGATGATCTTCTGCACAGTTTTTCCTTCTTGCTGAGTTGGTGTCATTCATTGCCATTTGCCTCTGCTCAGTTATTTTTGTCCTAACGTACCTTCCACAGTTTGCATTGTGCCTTTTCCTAGTAGCCTCCCACTTCACATCTGCTAAAATCATTTCCCAAACTGCCAGTTTAAGAAGAATTAGGTTGCTTATTACCACTTGTCTCAAAATCACATCCCCTTCCCATGAACTTTTGTCCATTCATTCAATAAACATTGGAGGGCCCACCAGGAGCATCTGTGCTTACTGAATTTGGGGGTTCATTATATCTGGGTGTTACTACCTTTTCCTGGTACCCAGGCTCTTCCGTGACAGTCAAGTGCGCGTTTCCTGTGTGTTCCGTTCCTCTTGGACGGTTCTAGGACTTTAAGAGTAAGTGTTGAGCAGCTAGTGGCAAGGTTAGCATTACCTGGTATTGCTTCCTAGGGTTTCATTCCAAACTCAATGCCTTCCCTTGTGTTTTTCAATTAGGCTGTTCTTTCTGTCGTGGTGAACAAAGAGGCTTTTAACATATTTTTGTAGTTAGGTGATGAGAAGTGCTGGAAAACCTTGCCTGTCACTTTTCCACGGAGGAACCCTGATTCAGAGTCCAGGTTGCCCAGAGGTGGCAAGAAGGTCAGCAGGCCGGAGTTGGTGGTGGGCGGACAAGGCCCACAGCTGCCGTGCAGGGTCTCCCTGACAGCTGGTAGCCAGCACGGCCTCCCCTGGGAGAGGGTGACAATGTTAAAGTTCTGAATAAAGATTCACCTCCTTAAAAGAGCTGAAAACCACGCTGGTAATGAGGCTTGTTACCTCCAGTTTATGAGAATGAGGAATCCCATGGAGGGCGCCCTGGTGCTGTCAGGGTTCATTTGCATAGATCTTGGGATGATCACTGGGCATCTCTGTCCAGTTTCCCACTTGATAAAAGGGCCCCAGATATAACCTAAATATAGACCACAATTTAAATTAAATGTTCATCTCCTCCAGTCAAAAAAGATAGAAGACTGTAGTGTGCTTTTCATTTTTCTGAAAATCATTATGTCAAACCCCTTATTGTTGAGCCTAACGCATCCTAAGACCCTTCTTTATGAGCCCATCTCTCCAGGTTTTGAAATTATTTATGTGGTTTTACTCCACTCTGCAGTATTTCTACTTTCCTTTAAAAAAAAAACCTCTGGCAATTGTTAGGAATACATTGTACTGATTACGGTGAGAAAATTACTCTCATAATTCTCTTTACCCTCAAACTGTGTTTATTGAATCTGATTTCCCAGTGTCCTAGAATTCCCTTGGCCATACGCAGTATATTACTAACGATCACCCTGCTCTCCTGAAAGAATGAATGTAATTTCCATGATGTCTAAACTATCAACAGGGATTCGTTTTAAAGTGCTGGAGAATCTGATTTATTGACTCACAGATTATTTTTCTGTTGTGTGATCTAGTCTCATTAATATAGACCTAAATCTCAACGTCTCTATCTCAAATAGTTGCTAGTATAGGTGGGAAATAGTTCCCGACTTGGCATGGTAACCAGCTACTGTGTTATGTGTCTTGAAGCCCAACCCACCAGCACTGATTCACTGATACCCACTTTTTCTGCAGAGTCTGTGTGGTGTAGCAGTTAAAACCTCAGGCTTCAGCCAACACTGCCTGGACTTGAGTCCTGGGTCTGCCACCTGCTACCTGCGTGACTTTGGTCATGATACTTAGATTCGTTATACCTAGACTTCCTTGCATATAACATGGGAATAATAATGATTGTATCTATGCTGCTACTGAGGGTTAAATTAGATAATGAAGTTATTAAAGTATCACCTAGTATGTGGCAAATTCTCACTGTCTTAGTTATGATTACTGCTCCAGGCATTGCTCCCTGACCTAGAGGAAATACTGACTTTCTAATCATGCAGTAATGTGTTTGAGTAGCATCCGTAAGGTCTTGGGAAAATATCCTCACCTCACAATACGTTTCACTTGAGGAGGATTATAGCACCATCCATCGGTGATGTGTTCCTAAGCATTTGCTGGGTGCCACTCTCTAGTCCTTGACACCTGCTCAGGCTGTCCCCTCCTGGCAGGGTTTAGACCTGCATCTCCAGGCCCGGCCTCTCGCCTATGCCCCAGTCAGGCACTACCAAGCTCTCGCCTGCATTTGGATGGCCCCTCCGCAAGCCTCTCTCCCTGGGTTTCACGGGTTAATATTTCTGTCCTCTGCCCATCTGCCCAGACTTCTGTTCCCTCTCTGCCTCTCCCCTAAAGCCTTATGTATTGAGGTGCTCAAGAATAATAGGAAAAACGAGCTATAGTCTCCTTTTTAGAGATTTAAATATCAAAGTCTCACATTTTCTGGTCTCTTCACCTTTGAAAGTAAGATGGGGTTGTTGTTGTTGTTTTTTTCCTAATCGTTTGTCTCCTTATCCCTGCTTCATGAATTGGAAAACAGAAACTACCCTAAATAAACTGTTGCTGTGATAACTTCAGTGAATGCCTCAGGTCCTCGGGTGCCATAGGGTTCACTCATCTGGAGCATGAAGCTTGTGATAACTTCAGTGAATGCCTCAGGTCCTCGGGGTGCCATAGGGTTCACTCATCTGGAGCATGAAGCTTTGTGAGATGACCTTCAGCAGTCAGCTTCCCTACACAGGGCCCTGCTCCTTCTGCACAGGCTGCCAGGTCCAAGTCCAAGGCACTGCCCCATCCCAGATAGTCAGATGGCCTAAGAGCGCCATCTAGTGAACATCCTGAGTGCTGCCACGCCATCGTCTACCACCTAATAGTCTCATTTCCTACTTCAGGGAAATACAGTCAAAAATTAGATTCTATATAATTACAAAATGGCTGTCAGAAAGATTTATTATGAATACTCTACCTCTGATTTAAATAGTGCAAGTGACTTTTAGCTGCTTCAGGTTTCATTTTAACTGGGACTTTTGAATGGCCAATTCTGCATTTTACATGCATTGGTTCAAAAAGGAAATTTTACAGGCTAGGTAGTACATCAGATGATTCAGATTTTTTCAGTCAGTTTTGGAAGAGTGTTTTGCATGATTTTGTTTAAAGGCAAAGTCTTGCTACTCCAAGGGTGATCCACATCACTAGGGGCTCCTCAGAAAAGTGGAATCTCAGTCCCCATTCCAGATCTGCTGTGCCAGAATCGGCAGTGATTTGTGGCCACATGACAACTTGAGAAGTGCAGGTGTAAAGGACTCTTACTGGAGCTGGAGGGAAGACCCATGTTCCTCGTCTGAGCCACCCCCTCCTTACACCTCTCCTCTCGGCCCAGTGGCCCCTGCTGAAAGCAGATCATGGCTCCGGCCTTGTCTGTCCCTGGATCAGCTGAGAAAGAATTGAAATCATATGCAGGAAGTCACTTTGAACATGGTAAAAACCTGTGCAAATGTAAGGGGAAATTATGAGTGAGAATTTTCATATTTCAGACTCGGCCATCATCAGACAATCTGCTTACATTAGCTACATCAGCAGCAGTGCGAGTATTCACCTGTAACCATTTGTCATGCTCCTAAGAGTGTTTGGGCAGATGTGACCAAGTTTTCAAGGGTCAAAGGTCTCTCTCAGGCTAGTCTTCCCAGAGCTCGAATAATAAAATTATATTCTGTTTTTCTCAACAAGACCGTCCACACAACTTACCTTTCTAGGGTCTCAGAAAGGTTCCCTTTGTAAAGCCCAGCATGCGGCACAGTAGGTGTTTCATGATGCTTGTTGATTAAACCACTAATTAGCCTTCAGCAAGGTCCAACACTGGCCTGAAGTCCTCCACACTAATCTATTCATGATAATCAGATTATTTATATCATTAGAGACCTAACATTACTACAGGAGGATTTGATCGTCTCACTAATAAATACCAACTATTCATTAAGAAAAAGACTCCTGATGGCTGAGAAGTCTTCGGTAGTGCACACAGATTGGAGTAGGTGAGATCATTAACTGCTAAAATAAGGGAGAGGGTGGGACAAAGAAAAAACAACAGCAACAAGGCATTACTCTCTTCTTGCATACATTTTAAAAGAAAAATCAACGGCCAACAATCTGCTGGACAATATCGGTGAAATTGTAGGAAAACATATTTGAAGTTCTATGACTGGTAAGAGGTGTTCACATCTGTGTTGCCTTGGGCCCTGGTCGCTCCTGTTCCGGAAGAAATGGTGCTGATGGTCAAACAGGGAGAGTACAATATTGAGGAAAATGTGTCACATGGTTCTCCACTAAACTGAGGCGCAAAAAAATATTCAATTCAGGTTAGGTTAGACTTTGGCGCTGTCTTCATTTTTTGAAATTATAAACTTTTTTTGCCCCTAATTTACTAAATATAACAAAAGTATGTTTTTAAATTGAATTGATTGCAATTAGTTTTTTTAAAATATATTTTTATTGATTTCATAGAGGAAAGGAGAGGGAGAGAGATAGAAACATCAATGATGAGAGAGAATCATTGATTGGTTGCTTCCTGGGGATTGAGCCCGAAACCCAGGCATGTGCCCTGACCGGGAATTAAACCATGAACTCCTGGTTCATAGACCAATGCTCAACCACTGAGTCACAGTGGCGGGGCAGGGCAAAGCTCTTTACCCACTGGGTCAACTAAAGAAGGCTCCTGGGAAAAATGACATCACTCCCTGGACTTGAAAGATGAATAAAAATAAAAGTGGAGAGAAGGCACAGTGTTCCAGGCAAGGGAAGCACAAATCTCTTTGAGGAATTCCCATCCCTGGAAAGCCTGTTAGAAATAACAACAGAGCCCCATCCCAAACCAATAAGTCAGGACCTCTAGGGGAAGTCTAAGGCCCATACATTTTATTTCCCACACATAGCTCTAGAGAATGTATCATGACAAATAGTGTCACGTAACATGGAGCTAAACCCTTCAAAACGGAAATTTAAAAATACCCATTTTATTTTGTAGGATTTCGAACTCAACAATGAACTAAAGATGAACGTCCTAAATTTGCTAGAAGAAGTTTTGCGAGACCCAGACCTTCTTCCCCAAGAAAGGAAAGCCGCAGCCAATATCCTGAGGTAAAGGCAATTGCAGGTGCCTATTAATGACATTGGTTGATTTGTGCTATGTCACAGAAGATGAGATCCTATACAACTAGACGCTGGGGCAGCGGGGGTTCTGCTCTCAAGGGGGGAGGGTTACCTGTCATCTTCGTTTTCCTGCTATCTCGGGAAGCCTTCGGGCTGAGTGACGTAAGTTGTGTGGAGTGCGATCGATCGTTCCTGTTTGCGTGGGCAGACCGTGGTTTACTGTGGAACCAAAAGTGAAGGGGGGAAGCCTCGAGGGTCCTCCCCTGCGAGCCCAGCAGGCATTGGCAGAGAGGTTTCTTTGCCTCACTTGTGTGTCTGAGCAGGTGGCAGCGTTTCAGCAGGAGCCTCCTGCAGCTGGCTGTGGATGTGCCACCCAGGGGAGGCATGCATTTTCTTGGCTCGGTTCACTGGTCCTAGACTAGTTTTACTATCAATGTCTCGGGCTGGGATTTCCACATCATGTAGGTTATATAAATCTGGACCCCACACTTCCATGTCATAACGGCTTGAACCTGGTTTGGTCTGTCCACCCAGCATCCAAGCAGGTAACAAGCTGTCTTACAGCTTCTTGAACTAATGGTGGCTTTTTTTCTAGTCCACTCTTTCTGCAGGGGCCAGCCGTCAGTGGCTCTGTGCAGACATTTCAGTGTCCACCTCCCTCATGGCTCTGTGGTCTGTCTCTGCTGGGAGGTGGGAAGCCAACAGCATCTGTCTGCCTCGCCTGGTTCTCCTTCCGTGCTCTAACTGCTAGCTCCCTCTTCACTTGCAACCTTCGGAAAGAATCCTTTTTTCCTTCCAAGGTCTGCTCTACTGGTTCTCTGTGACAAGAATGCTTATGTATAGAGGGGAGACCATTTTCACTCAGCCCACCAGGTTGTTCAAAGTCCATCCCTGATGTGGCAATGGCAGATTTGGGTCCGTAACGTTTCAACAACTGGCCCATAAGGCATTCTTAGCCCCGTTAGCTCAAGATTTCATAGCCAGCCCGTTCTCTGATCTAGGAGTTGTCATGGGTTGAATTGTATCCCTCCTCCCCCCAAATATAGTGAAGTCTTACTTATTTGGAAGTAAGGCCATTGCAGAAGTGATTAGTGAAGATGAGGTCGTACTTGAGTCAGGTGGGCCCCTAGTCCAATATGACATAAGAAGACGGCCATGTGAAGACAGAGATGCAGAGAAGATGCACATGAAGATGGAGCAGAGATTGGAGTTATCTGGCTACAAACTAAAGAATGCCAAGGGGCTCACCGAAGCCTGGAGAGAAGGAAGGCCATGCTTGGGGAAGCATGGGAAGGAGATGGTCTGGCAGGTCCCAGAGCTGAAGCAGCAGGAGATGGAACATTCACATCATGAGGAGGAGCAGGGTCTGCGCAGGCTGAGCTGTGGACACAGCCTGCGGTCGCAGCAGCATGCCAGCAGCCCAGAGAGTGTGGCCTGGTCTCAGGCCCATTGCTCCTGGTGCTGTTTTTAAGCCTACCGGATTTCTACCATTGAAGGAAACATTTTCCAGGCATGGAACTTGTATAATCCCATTTCCATCTGGTATTTCATTTTAAATGCGCAAATATTAAACTGGTCATACTGACCCATAAATGTGAGGGAAACCCAGGATCCTGGAGTGTCTGTTAAAGCTTTGGGATAGTCAGGAGACGAGAAGCAAATTCAGCCTCTCTTGGAACTGGAGCAGAGCTAGAGGGGACTTCCCATCTGAAAGGAAACATTTTGTGAATATCCCTCCCAGGGAATCTGAGTCATAAGTATGGGAAATAAAAACATACCATGTAGTGAAATGTAGCCCTGATATTAGAGATTTATATGCATTCAGGTCATATAACAGGGATACATAAGCATGGAACATGTATTTAAACATATATTACATGAATAAAGCAAAGTGAAAATTGCTGTGATGAGCCACCCTGCCTCACACAGTCGCACAGGGGTTACTTTAAGCTTCGTTGGCATAGGCAGCTTGTTGCCCTGTCTATGAATAAAAACCTCTGCTCAAGAATTTTGTATTTCTAAAACACCACCCCTCCAACGTTGTCCGACTAGCCGGCCGCTGAGCCTCTGCAGTGTGGAGCTTTTTGTAGACAACTAACAGCCTCCAAAGGAAAAGAAACAATGACTGACTTCTTGGAATGTCAAGTGGAATGAGTTCAAGTTATAAAAAGGTGACCCCAAACCTCACAAAGCTCCCAGAAGCATCAGTAGGCTCCAGGAAGAGAGAAAATGTTAACTAACTTCATGGGACCAGAATGTATCTTGGAACATTAGGGTAAGATCAGTGAGGGAAGGAACATTTGATAGAAGCTCACTAATTTCTTGACCATTTCTTTCCAAGGGAAGAATATAGTCCATCCTCATAAAAAAGATCTTTCCCATGGGTACACATAGTTGTGTGGCCACCGATCTCTCTCCAGAAACCTAGCCTACAGTGGAGAGGATGGCATATACTCTAGAAAACAATCACTTTTATTTCCTATGTGTCAGCCTTCAGTGTGATTTAATGGTCTTTGGAGAGAGAGTCGTGTGTACTCATTTTTTCCCCTCACCTATGTCTGTCCTTTACCCATGAGGACTATTTCCTTCTGCTCACAAATGACTGACATGGCTAATCGCTGACAAGAAGACTGACCCTCCTATGACCTAGAAGGATTCTGCTCCCTGGTAAATAGTCAAAAGCTTTTGTAACAGGGGAGGAAGACAAGGAAAGGGAATTGAGTGTGTTCTATGCAGGACCTTAAAGAGGTGCCCCCTGTAAGCTTGATTAGACAAATACAAGTAACCAGAGAGCACAATTGGACCGCACCCTGGCCCGCTTAGGCAATTTCTTTGAGCTTTTGTTTCCTCATCAGTAAAATGGAACTGATAACACTTACTTTGAAGGGATTTTTTGATACATGAGATAGTTAGTGTATGTCAAATGCTTAGCACATACCTGGCATGCCATGGGCATATAACAACCGATCTCTGTTGATATTTTATTTGGGGGAATGGTAGTTTGGTTTTAATCAATTCAAAACACAACAGAACTTCACAATATTATTTCTTTTGAAACCAGTTTCCTCCAGTGGATAGGCTACATGCTTTGAGACTGTTTAAATATTTTAATACTTTTAATATGTGAGTCTGCCTTCATTTTGGAAGACTTAAAGTGCTTGGCTCAGATGGTAAGTTATATAATCAGTATAATTCTGATGCTGAACTTGTGAGGGACAGGACGTACCACTCCCACTGTGAAACCAGCACCCACTACAGGGATAATTAGCTTCTGTATTTATTCATCTGTTCATCACTTATCAAAAAAGAATTTCATTGAGAGCCGAATGACATGTGTGGAGACATGGCACCAAACCTCAGGGAAGTGCGTCTGGGAAGTGGGGCGAGTTCACCTGCTGGCTTCTGCCTCTCCTGGTTCAGATGTTTGCATGGAGGAAGTCCCCTGAGCTACAAGTGAGTGGGGAGCGGGTGGCTCTGCGCCTTCCACCTCAGCAGGGAAGGGCAGGTTTAGGGAACAGAGGAGCATGGATGGGGCACTCGGGCTGTTAGAACTCCCCCTGGATGGAGAACTGCAGGAGGCCCGAGTCATCCCCAGGTGCACTTTGATGGTGGTGTTTTCCTTACAACCTCGTATGTAACAAGTCAGCTCTCTGGATAATCCTGTGCCTTTAACATGTGTGTTTATCCGTTTCCTTAGCCTCCTGTCTCCAGCTCAGGGCCCCACAGCCTGCAGCAGGCGGCCCAGCCACACAGCCCTAAACCCTCTGACTCTTCACCCAGGGAACACTGTAACGCTTTGCTGTTTCATTCCTGCCGTGTCTACTTCCTTTTCACGGGGGATTTTTTTTATTTTTATTTTTTAGAGCTCTTTCACAAGATGATCAAGATGACATTCACCTAAAATTAGAGGATATAATTCAACTGGTAAGTTCCCCCAGGGTCTGGCGCAGGCCACGTCTCAAAGGCCAGCAGTGCCTGGACTGAGCGCCAGCCACATGTTCAGTGAGGCTCTGGGAGGTGAACCAAATGTGCGTGGGGTTTAGCGACTGGTCCATGATGTGAATGTTCTTCGTAGCCAGAGTCTTTGATGGACTTTGTGCTTCAGCAGCTGCACCGAGCACACTGGAGCCTCACTGGTGTGTGTCTCACGCCCTCCTCCCCCCATATCTTGCAGACGGACTGTCCGAAGGCCGAGTGCTTTGAGACCTTGCCAGCCATGGAGCTGGCTGAGCAGATCACCCTCCTGGACCACATCGTCTTCAGAAGCATTCCCTACGAGTGAGTGCTGTCCTGGCAGCCCCGGGCCCTCTCAGGCAGGAATAGCGGCTTAGCATTGAATTATTCCTGAGGCACATGTGTGTGCCGTGGTGTGTCTTAATCTTAAAGTGGTTTGGTCCCACGGAATGTCTTTTGGTTCTGGTTTATATCGGAAATGTTGATGTGGAAATAGTGGGGACTCTCAAGATGGTCACACTGTGTTTCTCTATGTATGATGACAACCATAGAATGTAAATGCTCTAAATTTTGCTGCCCACTTGCATAAATCAACAAGTATTGCTGAGCTTTGATACCATGGTCTCATCACACAGCCTTTTGATTTCCTTGTGTAGAGGGGGGGGGCTCTTTAAGCCCCCTCCCAGCTGTCATATTTGGTAGCCCATAAACAAAGCCTTTGCTTGGACAAATGTCAACTGTTGGCACATGTTCTCTCTGAACAAAGAACTAAATAGAAGGTAAAGGAGGGGCTGGGCAAGAGATATGAACATGTTGTACAGAGAGAAGAGGACATCTGTGAGGATGGAAGGTCAGGCATGGCAGGGTGGATGGGCAAAGGGTGGTTAGAGGGTCAGAGCCACAGCTCTGTTAGGAAAGCATGAGGCAGGGACAGAGGACGCCCCTGAAGACTTTTATGTAGCTTATCTTCTTTCCCTATCCCTCTTCCAGCACTCCTGGACCAACCCATGGACATGAAAAAAAATAAAATAAAATAGGAATGTGGCCCATTGGCCATACCCAGTGACTATCTGAGGACTTGAGTTAGGAACCACAGTGCTTCTTCCCCCCACCTCCTGACCACCCTCCAGTGCAATGAGGATTCAGAAGGAGATGAGCATGACCTCTGTGGAGGAGGAGAAAGAGTAAAGCCCAAACCTTTGTGGTGACCCTTGGTGTGGTTTCTTCCTGGGACCCTCCCCACCTCTCACCTCTGTCCCTTTGTGCTGGTGTGAACATCTACCAATTATTTCCATCCACAGAATTGCCACACCTTTTATCCCATAGCCTTGCAGAATGGGAGCAGTACCACCAATAGCACCACCACAAAGAACCTTGCCCAGACACTCAGTCAGCATTTCTGGGTTAAGAATATGTCAGAGTGATTTTATTTCTAGTTACGCTTTGTAATGACTATCCTATAAAATAAAAGGGTAATATGGAAATCGACTGAATGGCAGAACGACCAGTTGCTATGATGCACACTGACCACTAGGGGGCAGATGCTCAATGCAGGAGCTGCCCCCTGGTGGTCAGTGTGCTCCCACAGGAGGAGCGCCACTCAGCCACAAACCGGGCTGA